TTTCTTCATATTTGTAATGTATTTTTCATTGTTTGTTCAGTACTAACAGGTCCAAGAAGTCCCACAATTGAATTTTCAGACACACACACACACACACACACACACACACACACACGTACACACACACACACTTACATTTTGGTAGCTTAAGGTGCCATACCTGATCTCTGCACACTCTACACAGCTCAGTTTCAAGAGTTGAGTCCCGAAAACATATCTATGCAAAAAGTTTGTAACACACACACACACACACACACACACACACACACACACACACACACACACACACACACACACACACACACACACACACACACACACACATATATACATGGCACCTTTATACATAGGAGAGTATTGTGTGCCTTTAAGCATTCCCTGTCAAGTCGTCACTCCTCCATCGCGCCGAAGAACCGTTTCATCATAACACTTTCAAAGGAGTAAAAATAATTGCCAGGGACAAGAGAAAGACTGCGGGGGAGAGAGAAACGCATAGAAAGAGAAACACTGTATGAATAAATTCACTCATCATCCCCTGTAGGGTAATTATAAGTGATCCACAAATAAACAAGACAACTTTAAACAAGTCATGATTTACAGTACAGTGAATTGTCCCATTTCAGGAGGTTGCAGCAACCTTAAAATAATCTGTGACATTTTTTAAATGGCGTTTGGTAGTCACTCATTGTTTCAGGTAGAAGAGCAGTGACATTTCCCTTAATGGCCACTAGATGGGGGTTACAAAACAGTACTCTTTTGCGACACTTCGGCCCAATCCCATACCCTCTACCCCTCCGTGACGGAGTAAACTCCATGGAGTGACACTCACAGCTCAACGAGGCTCCCTCCTGTCAGATGGAGGGAGTAAATACAGCGGCAAGCTTTGGGACAAACTCCCCTCTCTCCGGCAGAAACAGGAAATGCCGTAACTGTATGTAACAACGGTTTCAAATCAGCATCTTAGGACAAAAAATGTAAATTAATAACTCAAATAAAACTCCAAACATCTTTAATTGTGCTCTTTTAGTTTTAAACCTGATGTTTATAAGCTTCTTAGTTTGTGCAACAGTCTGTAAATATACACAACTTTATAATAAAATGCACACATTTACCTTTTTCTAGACTAAACACAGGTATGATCCTAAGTTAAAACATATGAGGTTATCATGAGGTTGTTAACATCGCAGTTTATCAGTGGATGTTTGCTGGAACTACTTGTAAACAGCGTTTTTCCTGACGGACACACACAGCGTTGAGACCGGTCAGGTACCGATGCAGACTCGCTGTTTGAGAGCTTGATACCCCACTCCCCCTCCACACCGCTCCACACTCATTGGTTTGGAACAGCACTTAATGTGGCGGACCCTCCGTGTGAACGCGCAAACGGAGGGGTAGTGTGTAGGGGTAGGGTGTAGGGCGTGGTTTGGGATTGGGCC